ATTTGGCACTATACCAATCCATTCGGCGCTAAATCACCCATTTGGCACTATACCAATCCATTCGGCGCTAAATCACCCATTTGGCACTGAATCAACCCAGTTGGCACTAAATCACCCATTTGGCACTGAATCAACCCAGTTGGCACTAAATAACCCATTTGGCGCTAAATAACCCAGTTGGCACTGAATCAACCCATTCGGCACTAAATAACCCATTTGGCACTGAATAACCCACTCTGCACTAAACCCGGCGCCAACACCCACCCGCTCCGCCATATCACAACCCGCTCGCCGCCAGAATGGACGCCGAGTCAAAACCGTTGAAAAAACTCCTCAACCGCATCAGCGGCCAGCCCGTGTCGTACATCTCCAAGTCCAAATACACGTTTGGACGCACGCTCGGCGCAGGCTCGTTCGGCATCGTCCGCTACGCCCGCGACAACGGCTCGGGCGAGGACGTGGCCGTCAAAATCATCCTCAAAAAGGCGCTCAAGGGCAACGAGCAGATCGTCATCGACGAGCTCGAGCTCCTCCAGCTGCTCAGCCACCCGCACATCGTCGGGTTCCGTGACTGGTTCGAGTCGCGCGACAAGTTCTACATCGTCACGCAGTTGGCCACGGGCGGCGAGCTTTTCGACCGCATCGTGCAGCAGGGCCGGTTCACGGAGCACGACGCGTCCGTGGTCATTGTGCAGATGCTCGAGGCCATCCAGTACTTGCACGCGCGGGACATTGTGCACCGCGACATCAAGCCCGAGAACGTGTTGTACTTGAACAAGGAGCCGGGCTCCAACATCGTGTTGGCGGACTTCGGCATCGCCAAGAAGTTGCAGAGCCTGGACGAGAAGCTCCAGTCCAGCGCAGGCCTGTTTGGCTACGCGGCGCCCGAGGTGATCATGGGCACGGGCCACGGCAAGCCGTGCGACATCTGGTCGCTAGGCGTGGTGACGTACACGATCTTGTGCGGCTACTCGCCGTTCCGTGCGGAAAACGTGCAAGACTTCGTGGCCGAGGTGCGCCACAACAACGCGGTGATCTTCCACGCGGACTACTGGAAGGACGTGTCCAAGGACGCGCGGCGCTTCATCGTCAAGGCGTTGCAGTTCAACCCGAGCCTGCGGTCCACGGCCACGGAGCTTTTGAATGATCCGTGGTTGCTTGACGTGGCGTCGCAGCACCGCCACGCGGACTTGTTGCCGAACTTGAAGCAGAACTTCGACGCCAAGGGGAAGTTCCGCCAGGCCATCGAGATGGTCAAGTTGGCCAACAAGATCAAGCACCTCAAGGCGCTCCAGGAGGACACGGACGACGACCCGCACGAAATCAACTTGTTTGGCGAGGAGGGCCTCGTGTCCGCCAGCAACTGCCCGTCCTCAGCGCTGGCCAGCGAGGGAGAGTTGAGGGAGAAGACCACGGGCTCCGTGCGGTCGCCGCTCTTCAGGTGGAACATGTTTGCGCAGGCGCTCCAGGACGCAGGCGGCCAGGACCGCGACGCGTCCAAGTCCTCGTTGACCAGCATGCCGCCTGTGCGTCGCGCCACGGACGGCGCGACGGGCCGCGGCAAGTTGGCCACGAGTGCGTTCCAGCAGTTGGTGGAGGTGGCCACGCAGAACAAGCAGCGCGTCTCGGAATACGAGGAGGAGTAGGTGTGCGGCCTGTGATGGTGCCAGTGCTGGAAGAAGTTCGAGAGGTTTCTGAGGTTCCATGGGGACTAAAAGTTACAGAGTTTCTAGAGCTATATGAGGTTCTAGGTCTCAGAGGTCCTAGAGAATCAAGACTTTCAGAGTTTAGAGGTTTCAGAGGTTCGAGGGTCAAGAGGCTCAAGGCCTCTGGAGGGCCAAGCTGATGTTGAGCTTTCACAAGATTAAGGTAATCTTGAGGGTTCGCGTATCAAGATAATCCTAGGTTTCAGAGGATCAAGATAATTTAAGTTTTCAGAGGATTTATAGTTTTCAGAGGATCAAATACCAAGCTTTCAGAGGATCAAGAGTTTCTAGAGCTATATGAGGTTCGAGGTTTCAGAGGTCCAAGAGGATCAAGAGTCTCCTATTTCAGAGGTTTTAGAGGTTCGAGGGTTCCAGAGGGTCAAGATCTCTGGAGGTCCAAACTGATGTTGAGCTTTCACATGATCAAGATAACCCCTAGGTTTCAGAGAATAAAGAGAATCTAGAATTCTCATGAGGTTCAAGAGGATGATGATAATCTAGATGTTTCAGACGATTTGAAGGTCTTGAAGGATCAAAATAATCCACAGATTTCAGTGGATCAAGTTGGGATAGATTAGATGTTTCAGACGTCTCGAAGGATCAAGGTATTCTGGAGCTTTCATGAGGTTCAAGAGGTTTCAGAGGAGCAAGCTAATCTAAAGGTTTCAGACTATCTAGAAGTCTCACAGGATCAAGATAATCTAGAGGTTTCAGACTATCTAGAAGTCTCACAGGATCAAGATAATCTAGAGGTTTCAGACTATCTAGAAGTCTCACAGGATCAAGATAATCTAGAGGTTTCAGCGATCAAAATGATTTATACCTTTCAGAGGATTAAGACTTTTCAGAGCATCAAGGTAATCTTGAGGGTTCACGGGTCAAGATAATTTAAAGGCTTCAGAGAATCAAGATAATCCAATCTTTCAGGGGATTTATAGTTTTCAGAGGAGCAGAATAATTTGGAACTTCCAGAGGATCAAGATAATCCCTAGATTTCAGAGAATCGAGATAATTTGAAGCTTGCAGAGGATTTATAGTTTCAGAGGATCAAGATATTATCAACAGTTTTTAGCGGTACATGAAGCTCTGGGTTTTAAGAGGTCCGGGAGTACCAAGAGTTTCAGAGTTCAGAGGTTTCAGCGGTTCGAGGATTCAAGAGGCTCAGGATGTCCAAGCTAATCTTGAGCTTTCACAGGATCAAGATTACCCCTAGGTTTCAGAGGATAAAGATAATCCATAGGTTTCAGAGAATCGAGATAATTTAAAGCTTTCAGAGGATTTATAGTTTTCAGAGGATCAAGATATTCCGGAGCTTTTATGAGGTTCGAGGCTTGAGATCATCCTTAGGTTTGACGGATCAGGGTAATCTTCAGGTTTCAGGCAATCAAGCTAATCCAGAGGTTTGTGACAATTTTGAGGTTGCAGAGAATCAAGATAATTTGGAGTTTTCATAGAATCAAGAAAATCTAAAGGTTCCAGAGGATCAAGAAAATCTGGAGGTCTCACAGGATCAAGAAAATCTAAACGTTTCAGAGGATCAAGGTGTAAAGCATTCAAAGGATTTAGAGTTTTCAGATATTCAAAACAATATCAAGCTTTCAGAGGATCGAGAGTTTCTAGAAGTCTCGGAGAATCTAGTCTAGATGTTTCAGAGAATTTAGAGGTCTCAGAGGATCTAAAGGTCTCACAGAATCAGCTTCATTCGCTTCATTAGTTCACAGGCACGACAGCGGCCAAGACCAAGAAAAGAAAGAATTACCACAAGGGATATGCGCCGGACCAGAAACTAGCAACGTGGGATATTATGGGCGCAATACCAAGTGCGGACGGCTACATCGAAAAGAGCCCGGCACATATCCGTGGAGAAACAATAAGGCGGAAAGATTATAACGAAACAATACGAGTGCCAGGTGGAAAGATTACACACTTCCGAAACAGGAAAGTGTAAAGAACGAGGCTCTTCAACTTCTTGAAAAGCCGCATCATACCGCGTGGTTTTCCGACGAGCCCAAGTCAAAAGCCCTGGGCCGTCTTTGGAAGCACCTTTCGCTGCGAGGAAAATGTGGGGCCTGCATGCACTGGCGTGGCCAGGTGCTCAATGCTTTTCCCCGCGGAAAGTCATGCGGTCTCTCCCCTAGTTTACTTTAGAGTTTGGGAGAGAGGAGAAATCGAACCACACGTGGCTAATCCTTCTCAGTTTTTGCTTGGTGGCAGCGTGCGTTTTCGCGACCCACCTCAACTCCCCATGGCCGCGCATTTTGCGCTTTTTGCACTTGCAGCTTTGTTGACTCCGTCTCGGTTTTTCTTGAACGCCGGTGTTTGGAGATCTGGTCATGTCCACGTACAATAACCCGTTCGGTCCTTGGCGAATGCATATACTGAGGCCCTGTATGCCTGTGGAAGCGGCCTTTTGGTTATCACATGGCGTTGCCAGCACTGGTCCCCGCAGCCCCGCCCTCCCTGTATGCAAGCCCAGAATCCCCGTTCCGGTTGCAATGGCACGTGGTAGTGCACACTGGGTTCCCTGCCGCTCCCCATTCGTCCTCTGTCCCCCACGCTCCGGCATGGTGGTGTGCATCTGCTAGTAAGTCTTGGCCGATGCGTAAACCGAGGAGATTCTTTCGGGAGTATCTGAAAGCTTAAATTGAGCGAGCACTTTACATTCCCGGGAGCCGGATCCAGCCCGTCGGCGGAGTTGGTGAAAATTGTGTTCGTCATTAGATCAAACAGGCTCTATAAATGTATAAAAAACAAAAGAAAATCAAACAACATCAACGGCATCAGCATCTGGAGTGGTGAACCAGCACCATATCCGCATCCGTGAACAAAACACACCCGTATCCAAATCAAGCAAATCATATAGTGGACATCAAAATCATAGCGTCATTCTAGCCTGTGCGGGCTGTCAAAGCCCTCAAGCCCCCGTACAAGCGGCCCCCAGGCTTTTCATAAACACGTAGCAGCTGGCCCCTTGTAGGCCAAAAAAGGCACACGTCCCGCTTAGAAGTCAATGTTGGGCATCAACTCGGGCGCAAGCCCCAGAAGCAAAGGGTCGTTCAAGCTGTGGTCATTCAAGCTGTAGTCCGTAGCGTACTCGTTCTGCGTCTTGAACAAGTCGGGCAACACGTCCATGTTGGAAAACATCTGGTTCTCGTTGATCGGGTCGACGGCCAAGGTGAAGTCCAGGGAGATTTTCGAGTCGCCCATCGCGAAGTGGAAATCGCTGGTGGGCATCACCTCGGGCGAGATCATGGCCGAGCCGTTCAAGGGCGAGATGTCCTCAATGGAGGCGGGCGAGATGTCGTATGTGTTGGGGTATTCAACCTGCTCGTTGGCTGGGGCGGCCGCCGCAAGCACCGAGTCGGTGGACGGCATTTCCTGGCGGTTGACGAAGAAGTCGAAGTTGCGCAGGTGCGAGAAGAGCGAGCCGGCCGCCGCGCCGTATGTGCTCAAGTTGGGCACCAGAATGGCACGCGTGTTCAAGCCCAGGTACGCGTCGAGGTCGTCGTCCAAGCGGAGGTCGTTGAACAAGTTCAACTGGGGCGACGCCATGTCGTGCGTGGTTCTCTTGGGCGAAGGCATCATGTCCTCTGCATGCGTGCGTTTCTGGCCGGAGCCGGGCGACGCAAAGAGGGCAGTTTGCGGAGGCGTCAAGTACAGCTCAGGCAACTCAAAGGGACAGGGTTCCTCTGAGAGCTGCGGCGTGGTGGCTGCAGGCGCCATGCTCAAAGGGGCAGGCTCAGAGACCGGGCCTAGGCCCGCCACAGAACCCGAGGTGGAGCCGTGCTCCAGTCCCCCAACGGCAAGACGCTCGGAGTCAGCCAATAAGCTCACGCTGGAGGGCTTCCGCGCAGGCGTCTCGCCCGCATCCATGGCGTCCTTTTCCTTCTCCAAGAATTCCCAGCACATGTCTCCGTATGTCTTGGGAGTGAGGCCAATGATGCTCTTGAACACGCGGTGGAAGTGCCACGCAGACAACTTCGACTTGGTGGCAAGCTCCTTGAAGCCCAACACCCCGCCGCGTCTCTTCTTGCCGCCCTTCTTCTTGGCACCCCCGGAGCTGCTGTCGTCGGATCTGGGACTGCTTCCTGCAGACGCGCCCGGGCCGTTGAAGATCGACATGGCCGCGGCCAACGCAAGGTGGCGGCACGCCAAGTCAATGAGGCGGTAGTGCTCCGAGTCGTTTTTGGAAACGGCGCCCGCCAAGGGTTTCAAGGAGGTCGCGGTTTTGTTTGAGAACGCGTTGGCAGGTACCGACATGCGGCGCTGCACGGAGCTCTGGCACATGATGTTTTCCTTGATGGTCTCGGTGACCTTGTTCTCGTCGTCGTCAAGCAAAGGGGGCACAAAGCCGATCATGGCGTTGATCTCCTTGACCGTGACCAAAAGGAGGTTCACGTCAATGGAGGGCACCAGCATGGGGTCACATGACTTGCAGGGCGAAAAGCCCAACCGGGCAGCGTCGTTGGGCGACTCCACGAACTTGATTTCCAGATGCAATTCCGTGATGGGGTGGGCGTCGCAGTCCGGGCGGCAGAAATAGGAGTTGATTTTGTTGCACACCACAAACGAGCCGGCGGCAAATGGGTCCAGAAACTGGTACGCTCTCCATTTGCTTTCATCAGTAGAGTAGACCATTGTGAAGATTTAAGAAGTTATAGTGATTTACTGGGTAGGGGGTTTAGCGTGAGTGTCGGTAGCAGGAAAACAAGGTCTGTAGACGGCAGAATGGTGATGTGCGAAAAAGGCAGCCAGGGGGAAATGGTGGTTTCTTAAATACGCTGAGAATCTGGGACAAAGATGGGTGACGATTGTGCACAAACGTCACAAGCTGCACATGCGCAATATTCTCCGCTGCGGGCAAATTGAACAAACCCAGAGGCCTTAGCCCTGGGTGCGCCGCCGTGCATGCTGCATCCCTGACGCAATGCAGACCGCACCCTCCTGCACGGCGCCGCACCGCCTCTGGATTAGGAACCGCGGGCTCCCTGCCCTATTTGGGATGCAGATTATCAGATCTATCCCGGGCGCCGCTTTCCTGAAGGAGTGCCCCTTCATGGCAGTTGTTTGTTATTATTCATTCCGGAACGTGCCTTGCTGTAGCCTGCCAGCACAGCTGTAGCACAGTGCTGCCTGCTGGCCGGATTCCAGACACTTGCACAATTTGGCTTTCGCATATGTGCAAGTCTTACACCAGACCCAGCCCATCCCCTATACGTCACCACGCGAATTGCGGAATTGCGCGGGAGTCGTGCGCCGGCGCGCAAAGTGCGGGTCACGTGACCGACCCCACCGCCCGGGCCAGGCCCTTCCTCATTCCCATCCCCCTACGTCATTGCGAACACCATCATTCATGCCCACCCATATTGGCGATTCCGACATCATGCTAATCTTCAAGGTGCTCTGTGTTTTCCATGTCATTTTTCGTGCCGGTGCCCAAACCTCGGACGGTGGAGAAAAGACGGTGGAGAAAATTCTGGGGGCATGGGGAGACGAGTATTTTGCGCGTGGTGTTGAAGGGGTAAATTCCCAGCAATCAACCGAAAGTTAGACTTTGCGTCTTTGAACAAGTCTCAGTATGGACTTCCGGCCATGAGCTGGGGCGAGTGCGAAAATGATGTAATGGTTATTCTCGTACTCTCTTTTTTGCGAGCATGGCATGACCACTACGTCAGCGTCAGTACATGCCAAACAAGCTTTGGGCAAGTAACCGCTTTTCCCCTACGGCCACCAATTCACACACACACACAAGGCCAATGAGGAAACGTCCAAACCAAGACGATAGCCCCCTGTTGCAGTGAACAGTATTGGACACCCTCACCGCGTATTTGAGATGCACTGGGCACTGGCAAAACCTGCCCGAGCAGCAGTGTGCGCATGTTGTGTGCAGGCCGCCTCAACGAACAATCGTGAAGGAAAGTACCCGCCGTGTCTCGCCCTGAAAAGCATCTCCAAATTGGGTGTTTGCACACTCAGTCCACAACTCGAGGCGGCATTTTCAGTTTTCGCCTGGTGGCTGCTTGTGCGAGCACATCAAGAGCAGAAGGGCGACCATTGGTACACCTTGCGTGAGAGTCCATACTTGTACAGACGTGTCTCAGGCTGGATGTGAAACTGACTCAGATTGCTTCTTTCTTTTGTTGGATTGATCTCGGGCTTCACTCGCCACAAGGCTAATTCCGGAGAGTTGGAGCCGGAATTAGCCCGCATTTTCTTACATCCCATGGCGCATATCCGCTGCCTCTGTGCAGGCCTGGGAGGCCCGCCGCGAGCTCGGATGCATCCGGATCCGGGCGACGGCTGTGGTTTCCTGTGCACCGTTTCGAACGGGGCTAAATTAAGGAGGCCGGGTGTCTGGGCATGCCGCTCGATCCTAGATAAGGTATAACTTGCCGCGCTGGCTATCAGAGTGGTGGCCTCGGATAAAAAGGGCCAGTTGTGAAAAACATGTGTCATTCACATTGTGGGCAAGCCGTATTGCGATGTTTGCTACTACCGCAGAATATTCTAGTTTAAAGTGGTTAAAGTTTGAGGCAGGGGCACATTCCAGGAGATTGCGAAGGCCCGAGACTCGAAAAGACTAAAAGGATATCACAACAGATGAAATGCCGCTGATGCTTTGTAATCAAATAGGGGCAGGATCATTCGCCTCGAAGCCGTACACCCAAGTATGGTCTTTCGCGAACATTCGCGACACCAAGTTGAGATCGCTTCGGAGATCCGCCAGTCGAGGCTAAAAATAGAACAGGGGGCGGAATGACGGCTCGATGAAGACCATTTCGTTTCTGGGGATCCGAGACCGCGGATTTCTTGAGAGTGCTCCATTCGCCTGGTTCTTGCCAAGAGGCCCCTCCCGTGCGGGCTCAGTAGCGAGGAGCCTTACCAGATCTAAATGCTCTGTGCGTCACGCCTGGCGCATGCGCATAAACGTGGGAATTGCGCGCCTCACCTGTGGCGAAGGCTGTCTCACATTTGCATGCCGCGATGCTGCAGCGGATGACGTCAAAGCCGTTGGCTGGGGGCCTGGCCACGCTTACAGATAACAAGTCCGTTCAGTTGAGGATAATCATGCTGTTGCCGGATTAACTGGACATGCAAGATCTGACTAAGCATAGTTTTGCAGAGCGGCGCCCCAGATCCCGTCTCTCTGTGGGCGCATGTCGTTGGGCCCGCGTATGGTGAGCCCGCGCATTTGCAAGCCTGCGCCCCACCGTGCCTCGAGAGACGCATACTCAAAAATTTCTCACGCGGGATTCGAGTCTCTATGCGCACACACTGAGATTTCGCGCAAGCGAGCAGCAGCAGACATACCCGAAACCCAGCACCAAATGGCGCAAACAAACCACCACCCCGATACCAGCAAAGACGCTGCTTTGGACACGCAGTTCGGGTGCCACCGGCATGAGTTTGTGGTGCCCACCTTCCTGTCGTTGGGCGTGAGCTCGCCCGCGTTCGGCGCCGCAGACCCGGCGATCTACTTCTGCGGAAACTCGCTAGGACTCATGCCGAAAAGCACGCGGCCGGCAATCGAGGCCGAGTTGCAGGCGTGGGGGGAGCGTGCCGTGGAGGCACATTTCAACCACCCGGACGGAAACAAGACCATGTGGATGGATATCGACTTGCCGCTCGTCGATCTCCTAGCACCCATCGTAGGGGCCAAGCCCACGGAAGTGGCGGCCATGGGCTCGCTCACGGCCAACCTCAATGCGCTTTTGGTGTCCTTCTACAAGCCCGGCGGCCGCCGCACGAAGATCTTGATGGAGAAAAACGCGTTTCCCTCCGATTACTACGCGCTCTTGAACATGGTCAAGATGCACGGCCACGACGAGTCCCACTTGATCCAGCTCGACGTGCCGGCCGGCGAAACGTACCTCCAGACCCAGCGTGTGTTGGACGCCATCGAGCAGCACCAAGACGAGCTTGCACTCGTGCTTTTGCCCGGCATCCAGTACTACACCGGCCAGTTCTTCGACATCGGCACCATCACCCAGTATGCGCAGCAGAGAGGGGTGCCTGTGGGCTGGGACTTGGCGCACGCCGTTGGAAACGTGGTGCTTCGTTTGCACGAGTGGAACGTGGACTTTGCGGCGTGGTGCTCGTATAAGTACCTCAACTCGGGCCCCGGGGCTATCGGCGGCATCTACGTGCACGAGCGGTACACGCAAAACAACTGCAGCGACAGCTTTGCGCCGCGCCTCGCCGGGTGGTGGGGCAACGACGCGGCGCAGCGGTTCCAGATGTTGGAGCACTTCGACCCGATCCAGTCCGCGCTCTCGTACCGCCAGCTGAACCCCAGCGTGATTGACTGCGTGGCGTTGCAGAGCTCGCTCGAGATTTTCAAAAAGGCGGGGGGCATGGGCGAGCTCCGCAAGAAGAGCGAGGCGTTGACGGGCCACCTCGAGGCGTTGTTGGTGCGGAGCCGATACTGTCTTTCTGCCGGGGCCCCCGGGGCTGCGTTTGGTTTCCGGATCCTCACCCCGGCCAGCCCTGCGGAGAGGGGGTGCCAGCTCTCGTTGCTTTTCCAGCCGCACGCCGACGACCCGGCGCAGAACGTGATGGAGCAGGTGCACCGGTACTTGCATGAGCACGCCATCATCTGCGACGAGAGACGGCCCGACGTCCTCCGGCTTGCGCCGGTGCCTCTCTACAACACGTTCCGGGAGGTGTCGATTGTTGTGGCCCGCTTGGAGGAGGCCTTGGGCCAGATCGAAAAGCGCCGGGCTTGAGGGGGGCGTCGCTGGCCGGTTCTATAGATACTGTGATAAACATCCGCCGAGATGGCCGGACGACTGGACTGGGTCTGCCGTGCTCCGGAGACGGCCGGTAGCCGGGAATACGAGAGCGGTGACTACGTAAATGGTGACTAGGTAAATGGTGACTAGGTAAATGGTGACTACGTAAATGGTGACTAGGTAATTAGTGACTACGTAAATGGTGGCTAGGTAAATGGTGGCTAGGTAAATGGTGACTACGGTAAATGGTGACTAGGTAA